ATTTCACCCCTCCAACTTTCCATTTCTTCAATTGAGTCCTTTCTCGAGTTTCCTTTCCCATTTCCTTCTTGAATTTCCCCTTTTTGCACCTGAAAGAAAAATGAAAATGTATTAGTTAAAGAAAAGAGAGATTGTCATATTTTCATATTTTTTTATTTTTTTTATTTTTTAATTAATTTTTGTGATTAATATTTTTTTTTTTGTTTTTTTTGTTTTTTTGTTTTCATATGAAAAGTTTAAATAAGCTGAATAAAAAATCGGGTTATGACAATAACAAAATATAGTACATATATTTTTGTTTTTTACAACATTTTGTTTTTGAAGTTTAAGTTTTATGTCAAATGTAATAATTAATTAAAATAATAATTTCAATTTACAATGATCAAGATTCTTATTTTAATTTACAATAATCAATATTATAATTTAAAATTTATTATTTCTTAAAAAACTTAATATCATCATAATAATTTATTACTTATTTTTTTACTAATTTGTATAGAAAAATAAAAAATTTTAATTTTATTTTCAACACCAATAACACATGCATGATTTAATTTGGGGATTTATAAAATTGAAATTAATTTTTATTTTTCAAATAATTTTAATTATGTGTGGGGTGCTTATTTAATTAAATTAAATTTGGAAAGGGTTTACTTATTAAAAATATTAATATTTAATAATGAATTAAATTTTTTAGAAATAATAAAATTTAAATTATAATATTCATTATTGTAAATTAAAATTAGAATCTTAATTAATGTAAATTAAAAATCTATCTTAGTTAATTACTACATTTAACAAAAAAATTTGAACTTCAAAAACAAAATATTGCAAAAAATAAAATTATATATACTATATTTAACATTAAAATTTAGGGGGCAGCTTGTCTATACCAACTCCCTTTATGTGTTTTGGGTCACATGGCATGCAAGTGCTATTAGGTGGTACCATGTCAATAGTTAGAAAGAATTTGGTTAGTTTAGTTAGTGAATGTTTGGCGAGTAGACCATTTTAATACAAAATTGATAGATTATAAATCATTGTAAAAGAAAAAATTGTTTCTGTACTAAATTAAAATAGACCACATAGTTAATAGACTATTTATTGTTTTAGCCTTAAAAAAACTAAAACATCATAATTTTTAAAGGGGTTAAAGCCAACTATAGTCCCTCTACTCTTAATTTTTATTCATGTCCATCCCTCTACTAAGGATTTGTTCATTGTCATCCTTCTACTTTCCCAAAAGTGCTAAATGTCATCCATGTACTCTCCTTATTTTGTTTATTGTCATCCTTCTATTGACAGCGTTGCTTTAGCCGTCTATTTGTACCATTTAATCCACAAACGATCAATCGTGGAAGCATTTCTTGGAATTTTATTATTCCAAATGTGCTGCCAGCTAGGAGGAGAGAAGTAAGGGGGTTGGTACTGGGGAGTGAACATGCATGTTGTTATTTTCAAATGAGATTTTGCTTAATTTAAGACAAATGATGTTGTAAGTGTTGTGTATTGTGTTTGAATTGTAATAAATAAGTCATAGATATAAAAATATTTTAGAATTTTTTAATTTTTGCATGTTAAAAGTTTATTTATTATATATTTTTATTATTAATTTATAAAAAAAATAATTTT